TTTGAAAAATCATAGGCTTGCTCCTTTTTGATCGATGGCGACGTTCAGGATCTGGTACTGAGCTCCAAGGTCAGGTAGCTTCCAGTGTGAGAGCTTGTGTTAGGGACAGCCCCGGTGAGTCAGAGGGTGACACAAGTGGCCTCCTGTCTTGCCCCCAGCGCTCACCGTCCCCATTTGCTCACCTTCTTCCTGGACGCGAGCAACTCTGTCTGGCAGACGGTAGATCATACTTGCGGAGGGAATGGATTTCTCCAATGGCTTTGACCTTTAATGCTGCACAGAGAGTCGTTAACACCCCACTTAACTCCCGCCGGAGTTGCCCGGCCGTGTGGTTATGTTGTCTGCGTGAGCGGTTTCAGAAGGGCAGCTGAGACTGGGGGAGATGGTGGGCCACGTCCATCCGTCTTCCAGCAGACAGATTTATTAGGAGGAAAAATGGGTGTAGCCTTTTCTTTCCACCAGGTCTAAACGGGAGGAAATGCTTTTACTTTAAAGGACTAGAAATCGATGCCAAGGAGCCTGGGCCGCAGGACCCGGGGCAGAAGGAGTGCCCTGGGGAAGTCACTACACACCCCTTCGCCCTGAGGCGGTTCGAGAGCAGGGAGGGAGCTCTCGGGCGCTTCCCCTGCAACCGCACAGACCCGTGGGCCGCCCTTGTCCGGACCTCGCTGGATGCGGGTGTTTCCTCCACCGCCCTCACGCGGGAAGGCCTTATTCCGTTTCTTTTTTTTCTCAGTCAGATTCCGAGGAAGATGAGCCCTCCAAGAAGAAAACTGTCCTTCAGGTAAGCTTTGTGACCCGGCAGAAGCCATTTCTCTTCCCGTATTGCCTCCCGAAAGAGAGTCACGACGCCGGGGAAGTGTTTCCACCTCACACGTAGGGCAGACGCAAGCATCTGAGGACCAGCTCCCTCCGTGTGGTTTGGTTGTTCTCGGAGCCGCCGGCCCTCGTGCCGTGTGCCCTCCCCTCGCCGTTGGCTCGGTGCTGGCCTGGTGGGGTCACCCCTGCTGGGGGCAGCCAGTGGCAGGGAGGCAGAAGCCAGTGGGTGCGGCGCATTTCCGCCGAAAGGACTGTTTAGGAAGGGTGAACGGAGCGGGCAGAACGATGTTGGAACGTGTGTGCTGTGCAGTCATCCTCCCGCCTCGTCTTTAACCTGGAGAGGAAGTACGTCAGCCGTGCCAGGCGCAGCCCTCAGTGCTTCACCAGCCTTTAGTTGATTTCATTCTAAGGTAGCGCCGCAGTCGTGGCGTTATCATCACCCCCGTATTCTGCTGGTGGAAACCACGGGTGAAGGAGCTTGCCCGCGGGCAGCGATGGGTGGGGCAGGGCGGGGGTCAGACTCTGGGTCTGACCGTCCAGTCCCAGCCCTTCCCTGCTGCGCTTGGCTCCTGCTCCAGACCTGAGACCGGAAGTCCTCAGCCAGACGATGCCGGGAGCTGATCTCTCGGCCGTTTGCCCTGTTTTCCCCTGTCCTGGTGCCTTTATTCCGGCCCCCGGGAGTTTCTTCCCGCTCCACTCCGCGCTCAGGGACTTACGTGCTCTCTGATCTTGTGGATCGTATGTCTCAGGGAAAACAAAAGCAAAAGCGGTCCTGCCTTTGTCAGATTATGTCGTGACTCAGGCGTGTGACGCCAGAGCTGCCCCTTTCCCTGACTCTGCTGTCACCTCCACTGCTGGGAGCTCTCCGGGCGCAGTCATGTGGAGGGGAGAGAGACGTCCTGGC